ATAGGTCCTATGATTCACCTTCCATGCCAAAGAGACCTCGTGTTTTCTTCACAGAGGAGCAAAAAGACAAGCTGCGTATGGCTTACAATCACGATCCTTATCCAAATCAAAACACAATCGAGGCTTTAGCCAGTGAGTTAAATGTAGGCGTAAAAACAGTCATCAACTGGTTTCATAATCATCGAATGAGGGCAAAGCAACAGCAGCACGTAGGTAGTGGTAGTCAGTCCAGTCCTGTGGAGTATAGCAACACTGTCAAATCAGAAAACAATGAGGATATTTCAGACCAGAGTGATGCATCTAGTATGTCGGGAGAAACTAATCCATTCCTGTCCAACTTCCCAGCAAACAGCGAGAACTCTCAGTGGCTGTTTCCACAGTTTGAACCTCTGTCCATGCAGAAGGCAAACTTCAAATCAATTAAAATGGAGATGGACAATGAAGATGATGGGGTAGGAGATGACGATGATAGCAGAAGCATGTCCAGCAATTCAAGTCATCAGAGCAACGAATCATCCAAAAATAATGCCAAAGAAAAGAAAGCTGAGGAGGCAAGTGAAGAGAAAGGAGGCAATGTGTTCAAGGAAGAAGAGGAGAATTCTGGCGGGGAACAGACAGAAGATCCATTGCAGAGAGAAAACAAAATGTCTGGCATTTCTCAGTCTGGTGTCAACAAACGCAAGCGCTCCAACCCTCAGTACGTATCTGAAGGGAGGCAACTAGACAAGACTAAACATGTGTTCGAGGGACTCCCTAGTCAGGTTTCTAGGGATGAAGGGGTGGATTTAGAATTGGATGAAGATGTGGAGAAGGAAAACGAAAGTGGAAATGTGGAGATAGGGGTCAAGGCTCCTGTGTTTGACAGACTTCATAAAATGGACAAGAAGTCAGTGGATTTCCCAGAAGGAGATTGGGAGACAGAGAGAAACTCTAACATAGAGAAGATTCAGAAGAACCTTCATCAGAGTCCTGCCACGGGGGACTGGGAGTTCTGAAGGGCAGTCTCTGTGTAAAATGTGCATCTGTACTGGGATACAGCAATGATATTATAAACTCTGACACAAAATTATTGTGAGGAACTGACGTGCATGATGTCAAAGTACACAATTGTTGTTGAAACTTATATTCAGTATTCAGTACTAATCAGAAAGGGTAGCTTCTTATATTTTTATACGAAGAAACAATTTTTTTATACCTTTTCATTATTTGTTTTAATTATGTGTATTATTAACATTTCCACTTTATTATGTGTTGTTGAAAAGACTTGCTACCTTATGATGTGCATCTACAGTGCTATGGACACTAGATTAGAAACATTTGTTATGTTTTCTGTTGCCTGGCAACAGTGATAGTTCTTAATGCCAAAGAGGATCTCGTAGCTGCCTTTTGAAGAATTTGTGTTCAACGTCTTTTAATTTTTTTTTCTGTTGGATGTTAAAAGATAGAATTGTGTTCCAAGCTGTTTTCATGACTATATTAGAGACGTTTTAGCATGTTTGCTTTTTTTCTGTTGTTAAACAGACGACTAGTCGGTTTGTGGTGTTCATGGGATTCCAGGAGTCAGAGACAACACTTCCTCAAACTTTCAAAGGGATGTGATGGAAGGGATTTTTTCTGATATGTAAAAGGGGAATTCCCAGAACATTTTAGGTTCTAATTATAGATTCCTTACAATTTGTGTTTTTTTTCTGCAGCACTGTGCAATAGTGTGCAAAATGCCTGATTTAAAATGTTCAATTGTTGCTCAACAAAGTTGAGAAAATTTTTAACCATCACCAAAACATTCTCAAAAAATGGTGACTTCATTAATTCATGAGTGATTGCAGACGCTGGTGCTAAATGTTTTTTCATCACCATGAAATTTAGATCGCCTGGAAAATTGTTAGTGACGTTCATTTACTTAGCACATTTTGTATGTAGAAAAGTATATGATATTATAATGTTGGTGTCCTTTTAACAGAATCAACACAAGTACTAATGTTATGACTTTATGATATTTACTACGACTTATAATTACACCTGTAGTGATCAAGAGCACACAATACAGGTTTCAGTTTTTGTCATGGTAGTTCAGCCATTTCAGGGATAGGTCAGTACATGTGTTTTTTCTGTAAATGCCAAAAATAATTTCAAGGTTTCTTTCAAAATTATGCTTGCTACACCTTTTTCTCGAGTAGATTTTACTCTACACATAAAAAGAATCAAACATCATGTATCATACCATGCTGTATGAACAATAATCTAAGAATTTTTTTTCCAAGTGCCTGCTTTTCTTGCTCAAAACAAGATAAATTCTTTGACAACCCATTTGCATCTGTGTGTACATAAGTATATTCATTGTTAGAATTTTCAGATTTTGTTGTAGAATGTAATCTGCTTTTAAATATTATATATATATCTGAATTTTATGTTTTTGTATAGTTGTGCAATATTTCTGTATTCTACAAAACATTTATTTTGGTTTTATTTTGTACATTTAGCCAGGGGTACCAGCAATGGTGTTGTTTTTATTCAAGTGCTGCCTACACTACTAATATTTTCCAAAGATCGACACAAATTTTTATCCACAAAAATTTTAAGAATATAAACTGTACCAATTCTTTAAAATGTTTAATCTTTTAGGTACTAGTTTGTAAAATGCTCTAATATTTTTGGACTGTATATAAAGTAGAACCCACCAATATTATTTTGAATTCAATTTTAAATATTTTTATTTAGCATGTAAGATTAACCATTGCTTTTAAGCAACCTCCAAGGGCTCTCATTTCTTGACACAACTAGGTTGTTAACATTTAATTATATTTTTATTTTTTGGCTTTAATTTTTACATAGAATGGTTTAGCAGGCATTAACTGTTGATTTATTTTAGCATTATTAAAATTGTGTTCATTTCTTTGGGTAGTGTGCAAATATTAAACTACAGAGAAAGGTAACTGGTGAATATATCTATCCGATATATACAGTTTCGATCTTTAACTTGTTTTTCCGACAAGTTCATTAATTCATTTAAAATCAAAGATTCTGACAATTAATTACATTTATATAAAGCATTAATAATATTAACAATTAATTCAATGTCATTTACACAAGATAATCGTAAAATTAATCACAAAAATATAATCAAGGTAAATACTATATAAAGAGAAAGCTATGTGTTGTTTATTTGTTTTCTCTAAGTTTATTTTAGAATGCCTGTAACTGTAAATGGTTAAGGCTGACTTATTCATATTTTTGATTTGCTGTTTGAAAAGTGTATTTTTTGTTCCCTAGAGAGAATAGTTAATATTTTGTTAAGTAAAAGAACCATATTATATATTTTTTTTATTTAAATTGATAAAAAAAAAATGAAAGTCAACACACCTTTTTTTCTTCTCTGTCCCTTAAGGTATTTTAAAAATACTTATTTTAAATTGATATTAACTTCATTAAAAGGTGTCATTTCAAATGACACTTTGAATATAGAAATTCTTATGTGTGACACAATTTTTTGTTTCTATACATAAAGATAACTGCATTACTGACACAAAAAAAATGTCTTTCATGAAAATAGTGTTAGTGAACCTTGCATTGAATTAATTTTTAGTAGAAAACAAAAAAAGGCATGAAAGTGTTGTTTTGTGAATTTATAATTTTTCCCCCTTTTTTTTTTGCTTGAGGTTGTACAGCTTATGTCATCCAATATGTATTCAATAGATAGCATTTTCTCTACCACCACTTTTTCTATTCTTATGAAAGAGGCGTACAAGTGATATCTACTCACTTTTTGGTGGAAATTCCAATTCTGACAGTATTTGATGAAGTATTTTACGTTTAAATGTTATTCAAAATCTATTTCTCTTTGTTTTATTTTGTTTAATTTTATGTCAAAGTTTTTTCTTGCAATTTTATCCCTCCCCCTCAATTGTATTTAACATGGGGGGACGTCTACGTAATGTTGTGAATGTAATATAACCCTACATAAATGGTTTTGGTGAAATGATAACAGATTTTAAGAAAAATGTTTATTATAATCATATGCCAGAATTTATTTATACAGGTATGACCTATTTGTCAGTGAAATCTGAAGACTTGAAATAGCTTTAATTTGGAGTAGAAATCCTTAAAAATTCTGTGAACACTTGTTACCTTGACAACCTGTATAGAGACAATCTGGCGGCCATGTCTTGATGGTGAAGAGCACTGTTTAGTCTAAATAGCCCCACTTCCTTTGTATGTGTGTGTCTTTTTTTGTTGAATAAATCCAGCTGTAACTATTATTTCTATCTCCCCTTCATATAAACTTTTTTCTAGAGGATATGCATTTGCCTCTATTTTATTAATTTCATTTGCCTTTCTCCTAAAGGGTCACTTGGACCCTGCAGATTTTTTTCCTGGCTTGTAATTAATAGCCATTTCCTGGGAAACTACAAAAAAAAAATAGAAAGGACCTTTATAGATCCCACCTCTGCTACAAACCAAAGTTTAATTTTTTGTTCTTTTTTTGTATGTTTATTATTTTTCAATCTACCCAGCTTTGTGTTTGTGAAATATTTTTGTAATAAAATTGTCTAAAGACCATTTCAGAATTAAGGGCATTATGAGAAATATTTGCCAAAATATTCAGAGCATCCCCCATTTTTTTTTTAAATACACTACATGTTCCTTTGTAAGAAAAAACTTAGTTTCTTTCTTTTGTTATTTTAAATATAGAAGATAGATTTATTACCTGTTTTGTTTTTAGATGGTTCTTCTTTGTACAATAATAGTTTGTTTTAGGTAAGACACAAAATTTGCTCAGTATTCAGTTCTTTTTCAAGATTTCAAATCCTTGGACATGAATGAAAGTGTTAAACATAATCACGTCTAGTCTGAGAGTGGCTACAGCCTGTTTCTATATATATTGTATCATATCTACATGTTCATTATAACACAGTGCATTTCAAATGTTTTATTTTATTTGTTATCCATACCTACTAAAGATAAGTATATATATATAGGTGCTTAAACATCAATAAATATTTCTAAACTGAAAGATTTGTGTTACTTCTTTTCTTTGCCAAGGAAGGAGTCAAAGTTTCATCAGGAAACATGCAGAACTTGGACATGTTGTCGCTATGAGCTGTTGTAACCTGTCAAAGAGTTACAAAATGATCTTGAAAAACAGAGAAAACCATTAGTAAAAATGTGAAGAATTTTTCTTTTATAAACATTGGATGACCTTCATAGTCTTTAAGTTTAAATATTTGAAAAGTTTCAATGTCAAAAACATTTACATGTATGTAAGAAGTCAAGTGCCTGCTCTATAATAAGGGCCTAAACTGATAACCCTACTGAAAACCCTGAAATGTTTCTAGAAAATTGTAAATTCCAAGATACTAAGCACTAAATTTTTACAACAATTCCTTTTTTTTAAAGCTAAAAAAAATGACATTCTAAATAATAACACTGTTGGAAGAAACTGCTGTATGAGTGTTGTGTTGATCTAACGATTTGAAACTTTGTACCCTCCAAAGGGTGTCCGCCGTTTCTCGGTTTTCACCTCAACCGTTGGCTGTACTTTTGATGTAAAGGACAAGGTATGGTAACAGCCGACTTTGGTCCCTTATTTGGTGTAAATATTAAAACACAGATAAAATTGTGATCGTTTGAAGTTAAAAATCTTAAATGATGCTTGTTTTAAAAGTAGCATTAATTGAAAGGGTGCACGGATGCCACAAGAGGGTGACAAAATGGGACACTTTACTGAATTTACTGATTTCTTGTGAAAATTTGTTAATCAGTAAATCTGGGACACTTTTCACTTCGGAAAACATATAGAGCACAAGATTGCCTATCTGAGATTTTTATACACAAAATGCATCTGGTACTAGTACATGAAATATATATTAGTACATTTGGTAGAAAGGCAAGCTTCATCTTCGCAAGCCACGGGTTTTGTGTCCATTGTAGGAACATAATGGATACAAATCCCGTGGCTTGCGACGACGGGCAAGCTTATGCTCTATGTTGAGAAAATTCGGAAAATGACATATTTGTGACCTTCCTACGACCTTTTTTGTGCCATTACTCAGAATCAATGCTTATTTTGTAACAATGATGAAAACGTTATTTTAATGATGAAGTATTGCATCGTTCATAGAGACTTGCAACACCACGGGCCATGAAGGGGTCTTAGCCAATCTCGTCCTTTGAAGGATTGAAACCATTGTAGAAAATGCCTTGCTCCCATAAATGCAAATGAATAAACAAACATCTAAAATAATGAATGAAAATGCTTTCACCTGAAGCCAGTAGCAAAAATGTATTACTATAGTCTTTGATGATGGGCCAATCCAGATGCAATACGAGCACTGAGGGCAAAAATTCATTAACATCATTTGTAAATAATTAAGGACCTTCAATTTTATATCGGTGTTCTGAAAACAAACTAATTATTTTTCTTCACTTCAAAACCACATTTTCCAAATTCAGAATTTAATTTGACAATCTGAAATATATGAAGGAAAAGTCTAGTGGTTACAACCCTTGGTCCTTCCCCTCCTATTAACCCCTCACGTGCAGTGAGATTTATTGAAGATCGTATAGACTACGATTTTGGTCCTAGATCTGTAATGAAATGACGGTAAATGTTTCCAATAGACTGGTCCCGAACACCGGTCATTAATTTTGTACGCTGAACTGTCGGACTGATGAATATTAGAGGGTTACCTGTCAAAACCGCCCGTGTGTCGTCCTATCCCTAATACAGGTCCAGGGGGGATAGGTGCATTCAATATAAACATCAGACATCAGTACAAGAAAATTGATGGAAATAATATGTTAGAACAAAGACCTGTGAAAGAATTCATTAAAATGTTATTTTTAAAATCAGTTAATAAACCACGCGATCATATTATCCCAAATTAAAATATCTACACACAATTTTAAAACAGTGCTGCGACTTGTGTTTGAGTGACAGAAATCTTATAAAGACACTCAAATCATCGGATTTGAAAGTTCGTTTCCACCTTTGCTTCAGTGTTTTCGCGAAATTAAGGGTCACACCAAATACATCCTCTGACATGCACAGTGTATTTTGACTGGTTCTTGTCATTATGATAATAATTTACACACAAACAAATCTACAATATTATAGGCTTAAAAGTATAGTTCAAGAAGTCAATTGTATCGGGGAAGGTGTGTGGCAAGCTTCTAGAATTCTGCAACAGAGCCTTTGGCGTTTCTATTTTCGATAACCAATAAATAAAAGCACCATAAATTTATGATTTATTCTCAATATCTGTGTCTTGTCATAAATTTTCACGACAGTTGACAACGGGGAAACTATTGCACCATGAAACCTTCAAAAACTTTTAGTATATATTGCGAACCATCACCTTGACAAATGTCGAAGCATGAAGGTTTTGCTTCACTGAATCATATAACATATGTATATATTGACTTTGCTCTAATGAAGGCATCATATCGTTTATTGACATGCATAGAGAATAGATGCGGGAGTACAGTGTGATATGAATTTCTGATCAGATACATCCAGTTTGAAGTAAACATCGAACCGCAAAATACAAAATCAAAATTCAGAATTTCAAAAATTCATTTCGTTGCTAAATGGCTTATCCTCCTTAAAAAGTACAATTTCAATTCTCTAGAAAAGGCTTAAGTATGGACAAATAAGAATGGGGGTGCGAGGTTCTCTTGACATTTTGAATTGCATTCAATATCAACATCAAATTCAAACAAATGAAGACCAAAAATATATTAAACTGTTAATCACATAACTCAAAACGTGGAAAAAAATCACACATAAAATGTTTTTGTTTAAATTTGAGGTACATTTGATATTAGTCTAGAATGAGTAAGTTTTCATAAAATTAATGATGTCGTTCAAAGTAAATTATATCCTTTGGATACCGTCAGAATGAATCAAAGTATATCAGTCGCTAATTTCTATCAAGGGCGGATGACCACAGGGTGCGACTAATATTAATTAATTACGCCAATGATCCTGATTCCGTGAAAATTAATGCCCTTACCTTTAATGAAAGAAAAAAACCCAGCAGTAACAGGATCGGGGTCATTTCGCCGCGGGTAAATATGGAAACTTTGACAGAGGCCTGAAGATGTATTTGTCAAAATTGCTTGCATGCGTAACTGACGCAAAGTGTGGTTACAGTACAATTGATTGAAAATTTCGCCCTCTTGTCCATTTTTGGGCCTTTTTTTTAGACCCATGATGAAGGACTGCTACTTCTAGTACATGACAGTTCGAACGGCGCCATCCACCGAATTAGCCTTTAGACAAAAGACATCCCTATACTATATATACATGTATTATAAACAAAAAAATCGGGGACCCCATTAATACATGTAATATATTGCTGAAATTACTATTATTTATGCATAAATGTGTATAATTTAATCAGCGCTCTATGAACTTGAAAATTCAATATCTTGTCTAGGTACCAAAATTAGATCACAAATCATGTCGATTTCTGAAATCGTTTGAGAAATAGTATGGGGGATTAGGGGCTATGAAGAATTATGCACAAAATATAATGATTTCAGCTTATTTGATTCCAAAATTTTTCATATGAATCAGGCAATAAATTATTTGTTTATAAACTTTTAGGATTAAATTACTTTTATATACAAACATTTTACAACATCCCGATTGAATACTTATGCAATGACTATTTCTTTTGTCATTTGAATGCAATACAGGACATGTGTTAATTATAAGTACAATTCAATTGAAATTTATTGTAACATAAAGATGAAATAGTTCAAACGATAAAATTTGATCAGTTAAATGAATTACGATGTTGAAAACGGTTTTGCCAATTTTCATTATATGCCTCTCAATGTGCTTCAAGGTTCTTTGCAAAGCTCCATAAAAGTAATTTCATATCATGTTAATAAACATTGGTATCAAAATGCTTGGACGGTGATAAAAATTTCTACTTTTAATTAACAACAAAGAACCTTGAAGCACATTGAGAGCATATAAGAAAAATAAAAGTCAAAGCATCACTAAATTTATTTATTTTATCATACACAGGTTTCCCAGTAAACATATTCGAATATACGAAAAATATTCTTTTTTTAATCCAATTAATTTAGATTAACGATAAAGTTTTGAATATACACTCTTTTTGTTGTAAAAGTGATTTAAAAACTAATTAAAGAGGTTTACCAATTTCAGAACGGTACCGGAAGTTACAAGAAGACTACAAGGAAGCTGTCTCCACAGTCCAGGAACAGAAACTGCTCACCACCCAGCTGGAGGAGGATCTGCGCAGTCTCAATGCCGTGTCATCCATGTTCCGGGGGGAGGCCGAAGGGGAGACAGTTACCGGAAGTCAGGGCGAAGCAGGTGCTGTAGCAGAAGTATTCAAAGATGTCATTCCATCAGGTATACCTTTAAGAAAGATTGCAACAATTATTTAATTTCTGTAATTTTTACATGTACATATTCAATGTCCCGCGTTTTGTTTCTGCTTCAGTTGCCACTCCCGGGGATAAGTCTGCAGTTGATTCCATCTTGCCCATCGTACAGAGTCAACGTGAACGATATCGACTGCGCGCGCAGGAACTGGAAGCTGTAAGTATATGTACTTGAAAACATCACTTGAGAGTGATGCTATTCATAAAGTTTGAAATAAATTCACTTTTCGAATCAAGTTTTTAACAGATTTTTACATATCCAAGCTCTTATATACATGCACAATGACATGCATTAATTCGTATGTGTAGAAAAGGCAAAGGGCAAAATATCTTAAACAAATTGTGACTGTCAGCCTGGTCAAGTGAGTTAGAGCGAAAATAATCCTCTAAACAATACGTAATTAAGTAACCAATTAATGAGTTTCAACCACCAATCGTCTTATTGACATTAACATCCGAAAAGATAAAAAATAGTCGTTTTCAGATGAAATTTTTTTTGGTATTGTTGAACTTTAAAAACAATTTATTGAATTTCAATTGACTAAAAAATTACTACTTATTTTAAATGTTGATGAAATGTCAACACGGTCGCATGCATCTTAATTTATTGGAACGATTGTGGATTTTCCAGGACTGGTAAATAAAACATCCTGTTTTTCAAACTGTCAGTCTTATGTCCCATCAATGCATCAATATAGCTTGATTTTTTTTATTATTACATATTCATTAATTCGACCCTGACCTTAATGTTCTACTTTTTACCATCCAGGATGTAGGTTTGTAAATATTGATATATCCGTCATAGATTTACTTAAATGAAAACAAAAAAAAAATGTTCGTATTGGCCTCGCATTTTGTACGGTCAAGAATAAATGTGTGACAATAAGATTTATATTAAAACAAGTAGTTTTTGTTGCATTGTTTGATTTATTTATTCATCCTTGAACGTGCAACCCAAGTAATAAAACTTTCTTTGGTTATATTCTTAGTTCTAGAAACAATTTTAGCTGAAGGGGGTTTTGGAAGTATGAAAACATCATTTTACTTGCTGCGATAGGTTTCGATATTTTTATATATAGCTAAAGCCATTTTTTGCGATTGCTTACTTTCTGAAAAGTACTTCGTTGTCGTAAGGTCTTAGAATTGCTTTCAGTGAGTGACCAGGTCCTGGGATCATGAAATATCTTAAACATAAATCAAAATGTCTCTTTTGTGATAAAATGAATCTGAAGACCACTCCTGTATGAAAATGCTTTCAACGCTGCATCAACATGCTGTTGTTGTCTGCAAATTAAAAAAATTAGAACACCAAAGCGAAAATTTTACAGTAAATGTTCTAGCAAGCCTCTTCCTTTACTCCTAAATGACATATAAACAGCAGCCAAGGAGAAACTTCAGTAGTACTGAATAACAGTGTATTTGTAGTGGTGTTAATCAGATGTGGAAACCTAAAAAGTCCAAATAATCTGTGAAATTTTTTATCAGAATCAAGTAGTGCTAATTGTTATTCGACATTTAGATATATTGTTAATTGTTTTATCAATTAACAATATTTCCTTCATCTTCTTACGTGAATAGACGCCATTGAGTCTGACCCATCTGTTTCACATTTTGATATTTTATACGAAAAAGACGTAAATGGTAACCTGATAAAAAAAAATCTTTATAAAGTATAAACGTGGTAAGTTAAACTTTTCTATCGTCAACTTATCGTGGCGTAGAACTTAATATACCCGTATTTTCTTTTCAGCATGTAGAATTTATGCCTGCGAGTTGCAATGGTTTAATATGCAAAAAAGTGTGATCGATTGTAAAATGAGCTATAAACTATAGACAGATAAGCAGATGACACAAGGCTATCAACAGTCTCGTTTACTGTCAACAGTTCGCAGCTAGATTCTACGGTCAAAACAATGGTTTCATCATCAAAATTAATACAATCAATCGTTAAGTTGAATGTTGACTGACGTTTTTCATACACATTTTTAGGCTATTTTTTTACATCGAATTTTCCTTCCATACATGTAAGAAGGAGAACACGTTGAAAGTGATCGATCGACAGGGGATGCTTACTCCTCCATGACACCTGATCCCATCTCTGATGTTTTAGAGGCCCGTGAATGCTTTGCTCCGAATTTGCATTGTTTCAATGATATTTTGAGCTTGATTATAATATTGTTCAGTGTTCACTGTCTTCACATTTGATTTTAAAAGTCTTAATCTGATTCACGTTCCCGTGGCCACGTCTCATGGTACTCTTACCTCTGCCCGAATTTGAATAGATGTTCCACATCTATAAAATGTCAGGTAATAAGTTTTTGATTTTAAAAAGGCGATTATTGCAATTGGTAAAAAAAGAGAAAAATCTTCGTTAAATTATAATTGTTAGTTTTTAGTGAGGAACACACATCTTTTATAATTTTGAGGCTGCATTTGAATTTTTAAGTTCTTAGATTATATATCAGCTTGATTGACTCCAAAAGCAAAATAAACAATTTGAAACTCAGATTTTTACGTGCATTTCTTGGAATAGAGCTCATGAAAAAAGATTACAGTGTTTCTGAAAGTGTCATCTGCAACGTAATTTGTAAACTTGTTACTTGTGAAGGAAATTCTGATTCTCTTCAACCCCTTCCTATCATTTATCATATATACGTGTACAGAGATCGTTCCGTTTTCTGGTTTTCTTGTTCGATTTAACTTAAGAGTACTTCTGTTGGTGTACATGGCAGTTGTTCCCGGCCCCAGCCGTGATAGATCAATGTTTTATCCCAGCCTTGATCGATGTTCTTCAATACTGTCGCCCGCCAGACACACAGAATACTTTCCTTACAACACGTTTTGGAGCTTCTTATCTATGTTTTCATGCTGTAGGATGCAATTTATTTTTGGCCTTCCTTGAAGGCAAAAATCAAGGAATCTTGTAAATAATAACAACGCAATAGTTTACATCAGGCTACTTTAAATCTTCCTGATGCATTCATGGCAAATAAAAGGGAATTTAATTTTTCATTAAGAAAATGTTAAAAGAATTAATGTTATAATTCAAAATTATATGCATTATCAATCACTGCTATCAAAGCAGCATAGACTCCCGAAATCTACAAAAAGGTCACAGATTTTGCCTTTACCTCCCAGTAAATTCAAAATTTACAGCACGACAAAAGGAACAATTTTTTTGTAAAACTGTATAAAGTTGCATAATCATAAATTTTTTCATCTGGTTTTGATTTAATTCCATACTCATCTTTTGTAATTTTAGCACTCGCTCGGACAACAACAACAGATCATGCTCCTACAGAACGAGATAGACAAGCTCCGCTCTGACAATGTCAAGCTCTACGAAAAAATACGCTTCCTCCAAAGCTACCCAAGCAAGGTACAAACTCAGTTTATATTTTCTATGTGAACTCACGGGCAATATTGAGTATGTGCATGTATAATGCTCATTGCAAAAAGTATATTGGACAGACAATATTTGGAATAATTATTTACTTATTAGATGACATTTTTGAATGAACTAAGACTTAATAAGTGGAGGACACAATGCAAGTGGTAAAACTTATTAATGCTCCAGTTTCTGAGTGACAATATATAATAAGTATGTATAGTTTTTGGAGATAAAGTCTTCCAACAATCTGTTGGAATTCCCAAGGGTACCTACTGCGCCCCGTTATTAGCCTACTTTTGTATTTATATGAAACAGGATTTATTCAAAAGTTTGTACAAGAGAAGAGAAAAACATTTTGTTGTGAATTTAATTCAGTATATCACATGGAACTTGAAATGTAAAACACAACAGAGTTTAACACATGTATCTGTTTCATAATTGGATATTTTGCGAGAAAAGACGTCAATGGAATCTAACAACAAAACTTGATGATAAACGTTATGACCTCAATATATTTTTTGTCCACATTCCTTACTTATGTAGCAATATACCCATATCACCTAAATATAGGGTTTATCTCCCGGTAGTTTCGATAAACAAGACTGTGCTCAACATACGATCACTTTTTAAAACGAGGCAATCTACATGTTTTTACCATTCATGTGGTTAATTAAAGAAGGATATTAACAGTCTCGTTTGAAGTCATCATCATGCAAGGTCGATACAATGACCCCAGAATCAAATACAATCTTCATTAGATCAAATTTTGACTCACGTTTTATATACTAATTGTTAGACCCTTTATAATTTACACACTGAAATTCATAAGTTTACCCGATCATGACAATGAGAACACGTTGATAGGGGATGCTTACTCTTCCATAGCACCTGATCCCGTCTCTTGTGTTTTTGGAGGTCGACGATCCGTGTTTGCTCTGCTCTCGTTTTGTATTGTTCAAATGAAATAATTTAAGCTGAAATACTGTTCCTTTTTTCCATATTTCATATATGTACATGCACTTTTTTATAAGAAAATTATTAATTGGTGACGTCTTTATTATGCAGGGAGGACATGCTTCCACCGAGGACGCGGAGAGTCGATACTCGATGCAGTATGAGGAACGTCTGGACCCATTCTCCACTTTCAGCCGGAAGGTAGATGACGTCACAGCCTTACACATAAAATATTAATTTTATATACTAGTACATGTACCTGCAAAAATTTTATCGACAGTATGCATTTTAAGAAATAGAGAAAAGGGAAACATATTTTGTAATTGTTGGTATAGTAGAACTGAATTTTAAAACAGTATAAGGGGACGGTAACGGGAGTGTTTACATGGGCGCTTAATGGGGCGAATTCGGTATCATTATTCATAAACTTCGTAAATAAATTTCTTGCCAGGGGCAAACTTATTTCAAGATGTTTTTAACTATTAATAACTTGTAAATATACTGTTATAAAAACTTGATGGTGAAAATAGATTTCATCGAAAGAGTTGTATTATTAATGCATCTTTAATTTTTAAAACAGGATAAGAATTTTATGTTTAATTTTCGTGATTTGAATTTTAATACGTTATTTTTCCTGGTCGATAATTTTACAATATTTCCGATATTTGATTCACAGCTACGTGATACTATCAGGAAATGAAGCTCATTAATATAAAAACGCATTGTATATATGATAATTAAATAACTGAAAATGAGTTGAAAGAGATTAATATATTTGAAAAGTTTATGATTTAACCATATTAATTCAGTTGATCGTTCTTTTTCAGGAAAAACAGCGGAAGTACATGAATCTCAAACCATATGACAAAATCACCCTAAGTATGGTAAATATATGACGTCATTGCAAGGGTTTATTATAGAGGAATTTTGAATTTAAAATTATGGTCATTTTTGTTACTGGTAAATGACATTGCAATATCTTTGATTAATGATAGAGTTATCAAGTTGTGATTTCTTCCTTCATCTAGTAAATTCAAAATCACATGAGACCGTGGAATCAGTTCAATTCGTGGGGTTCAATGTTAGTGGGTAAGCACATTTGTTGGTTCGGTCGGTCGAACACTGAAAAATTCCTGCATTGAATTCAAATAAGGGTCTTTAAACCCGGTCCCTCTCCATGCCTCAAATAGTTTTTTTCTTTCTTTTCCTTCTTCTTCTTCTTATTTTTTTTATTTTCTAAATAAAGTTACTAAGGGGCCTGCATAAAGCATAAAAGGAAACTGTATTTCGGGTATTATTTAAAGTATTTATCTTTTATTTTATCCTAGTAAAAAGCATCCATATATATATAAACTATATGTATATCATGGATTTGAAATACACCTGCAGTTTCAATTGGAAAGACAAATAGAAATTAAAATGTCAAATAAAATTCTGATTTCTTAATGTTATTAATGACAAAAACATGACACACATCCGATTGTACAAATAAAAGACGGCTGGTATATCAGTTTTAATTTGTTAAAATTAATTTTTACCGTGTAAGCCATGTTTCATTGAATCAAAATTCACAATGACCTATGGCTCTTTTCGTAAACAAAGAAACCATGTGATTTAGATCGCACACGCAAGAAGCTGACAAAATACTTTTTCTCTTGTGTTATGGAAACATGAATTTTTCAACATTTGCGGTAAATAAATTAATCATTCAGTGAGATACACAAGTCAACAAAAAGAAATCGGACATTTAATCAAGATCAGGCTCGTGTCTTCAAATGTCAGATTTCCATTAAAACTTGATATGAACGTTAAAATTTTAATCACTTTGCACCAGCTGCTATTTAATAAAATTGAGATAACAATCTTTATTCCATTTTTTAAATAAGTTATGTTGTGTGTCAGTGTGATGAAAAATTGACATCTTTCTCCAAAGGTCTTTTGCAAACTCTGCAATTTGTGCATATGATGAATTATTAATGTTAAAAATTCCCAGGCTAAAGGTATACTGGATACATCTCTATATTTTTTTATGTGTTCTTTTGTGCATCTTTATGTTGAGCAACTTTTCATTTTAATTGTAATGCTTATAATGCACATGTCAATTTAAGAGAGACAAATTGAGATAGAACAGTTGCATCATCGATTGACAACACTTTTCAATGGTTTTTTTTTGTTTTTGTTTTGTTTGTTTGTTCTGTTTTGTTTTGTTTGTTTGTTTGTTTGTTTTTTTTTTTAAATTGTCAAATTGACAGTAAGAACTAAGAAACCAGCGAAATGTTCTAATGATATACAAAATTTGAAGATTAGATATGTATTTTGTAAAAGTAAAAATTCAAATGAAATTCCAATGCCAAATATGTGTGTTCTGTCATTAAAAGCCATGCAATATTGTACATCCGGACACAAAAAAATTTTAAGATCCAACAAAATGACTTCAGTTGTGGATTTTAACAGGGACTTTTTTCCCCGTTCCCTTACATACCATGATGACATACTATGAAAAATAAAACAATAGGTTGTTTGAAGTAATGAAACATAAAAACTCCATAAAATGTGAACAGCGCCAGTACCTGTGAAATTGAAGCATTATTGTCAAACCATTTCACAAAACGCCATCCGGTTAATGACCTAATATGCGTTTTACATAAGTCATTAGAAAAAATGTGATTATAATGAACAGAAAGTAGAACGTCTTAAAAAGGCACAGGACGCTCATGACCGTAGGAACCGGGGGAGGGGACGAGGGGACCGTGAATCCCCCCCCCATAATTTTGCCGATATATAGAGTATTACTATATGCTTGTGCCCCCTCAATAAAACATTTGATGACCTTTTTTGTATTTGTTTTTTTTTTTCTTTTTTTCCTTGTCAAGCAATTTTTGTTACCTAAAATTAAATGTTTGACTGTGCCCCCCCTCCTAACTGAAATTGCTTCCTATGGGCCACTACCTATGGTGTATACATGTATCAGTGTGAGGGGGGAAATCTTGCATAAGATATAAAACAACAAAAGTCAAGCATTCAATAAAACAACTACGCGGATAACCAGGGTCTTACGCTCTTCAATTGTGATGTATTGCGAACGAAGTTTCAAATTTCTTTAACGATAAAATGTATATTTGATTTGAAAAGGATGCATATCTGTTTTTTAATCATATTTTTGCTTTAAAAAATTTACATGTCAAATTCAAACCATTAAGATATTCATCAAATACTTCCAGTTGTTTTAGGTGTGTTATTTGTATTCCGCATTTATTTACAGATTTAGGAGGTATATAGAATTTGTATTTCATTCTTTTGTGTCCGGACCCAAAAGCGTCTAGAGTCACATTTTTTTTTCCTTTTATCATATAGACATAGATGTTATGTGTCATAAATGTAACCTGAATCCAGTTTTCTTGAGCTTTTATGAATGAAGTATTGGGGGGAGGTGAAAGATAATGAAGTACAGGGGAATGAATTGATACATTACTTTGTGGCATATTGATCATATATCATGCATACTTTTTTAAAGTAGTTTCTTACATATAAATTACAAAGTCTTTATCATTGTGATAATTATTGATATCCTATAATTTCATTTTAACAGGGACGCTTCATCATGGGGAATAAAGTTGCTCGGACCATTACTTTCTTCTACACCCTTCTACTTCACAGCCTTGTGTTCTTGGTGAGTACAAAAATATATTTAATTCTGTAATCGACTGATTAACCGATAAAAAATGCAAAAATTATACCGACCATTGTCCAGATATGATAAACAGAATGCAGTAATGACATATTTCATTTTGGCATCTGATTTTGATAAATTATTAATCATACGCAAGACAAAACCGAAGAGAAAAACTGTATGAACCACAATTTGCACTTGCCATTTCTATAAAAAGCATGAAAAAGACGCGAATGTTTTCTTTTTAATGCCGATCTTGTCAATATGTGGTGTTGATTTTTGACAGGTACTGTACAAGTTGGCCCACACGGAGTCTTGCAAGCGAGACTATGCGGCGGACTGCCACGCAAAGTAAGACTTCATACATATTGAGATTAGAATGCTGCATTCCGATCGCACAAGTACATTTTGAAACACGGTTTTATATGGAAATTGGTGTAAATTGCAAATTTGCACGTAAAATTTTTAGGAAATAAATTTTCTTTTACGCAGAAATTAACAAATTATTCATGGACCTAGAAATTACCTATTAGCCATAGTAATACATATACACAATGTCATTGCTTACGTGGAAAAATTGATCTGATATGTTTGTCCGTTTCAAATACAGTACTTCTAAAGACCATTCTAGTACATGTACATATAATTCATAAAGCGATGACTATAAATATATCCAAAAAAATCGTTTGAGATACTGCAATTGATTTTTGTTCCTCTTTAAACGAAATATCCCCATGTATATCACTAATGCTTTTTTTTCAATTTTGCAGTGAATGGATAAAAAAAACACCCCTAACACCCCACTTTTGATATAATTTCTACATTGATGATGGGGTGGAGAGCATTTTTCTTTTGTACAGTTGTACAATTGATTTTCGTATTAGGCACACAAACATTTTTGGCAAATATAATTGATACAGTAAAAACACGTTCATAAAAATAGACTCCCAATATTTATAATTACAAAGCACGTATCTGACATTCCATTGAATTTTAACGAAGAATATTTTTTATGCGCACCCAATAATAATATATTTCAAATCGGACCACAGGTCGTGGACAGCGAGTGAAATTGCAAATCATAACGTCACCTTTGAATTAAAAATTAAATAGTTCGCCAATACCACCGCCATAAAGCATCAGCTTCATCCATTGACACTAATGGCGAATGTCAAAGTCTGCATACGATTATCATTCGTGGCCTAATATTGTATTCTGTGAAGAGAGGTAAACCGTCGGCTAAATTTAAGAAAAACTGTCAATAATTAATGTTTGTTGTCGTCTTTATATTATCTTTGTGATATATATCCCTATTTAGCATTCGGCTATATCTTCATGTGTCAGCGTCAATTAACGCGTAGCTAATTGCGAAAAACGTAATTTTAAATTACAAATTTTGAAACATTTCCACGCTTATGCATGAATTATCATAATTAAATGAAAGTCGCCCAGGTCGAACACAGTGTGCATCATTGGTTTTTGTTTTCTTTTTAAGGTTTGCAGAACACATGCTCAAGGTCCACGGCGCGAAGGACGACCACGATCAATGGCCACATGTAGCAAAGGGTGTCGGGATATGTGCAACGCGACCTAATATGGTACGACTTGACCAATCGGAGCTTATACAGAAATATATATTTTTTCTAAAGAAAAACAATTTTATTATTGGAAATATGGAATCTCTTCATTCCTGTAAACATCTTGCGGAAAATTATGAAACTGGTATATTTTTTTAAAATATTTTAAATCATAATCTTGGATTGTAAATTGCATTTACCATTTTTTCTAACATGTACCATATCATGGACTAATTATATAAGCTGTAATAAATTTCTTGCCTGTTGTATTTTATTTTAAAATTCTCAATAAAGATGGGATCAATGGAAATAAACCAAGTCTTTTGTTATGTTATGCACAAACTTTTTTTTATGGACTTCAACTCGACGTATTATTAATTAACAACAGTTCTTTTTCTATTCAAGTCGACACGATATATCCCAGCGAGCTTGAAATAAGAGATACCACAAATCTAACACATCGATCTGTTTTATATTTGGATATTTTTAAATAAAAGATGTTAATGTTTAACTAATAACAAAGTTGTAAGATAAACCTGATGACTTAAACTTTTCAATAGGTAACTGTCCTTACTTATGCAGCAATATCTCTTAATTAACACCCGCATACGGGATTGATTTGATACGCAATAGAATGCTCCTCATGTTTCTAAATCGAGGTAAGTTATTGCATGACAAACAAGTTGCTGAAACAAGAATATCAACAGACTCGTTTTAAGTCATCATTTTGTAAGTTTCCTTAATGTCAGTTCAATGGTCTTGTCAGCAAATAGTGGGTGCATTCTATCATTAAGTCAAATGCTGACTAACGTTTATCATACTTATTGTAAGGTCAATATTTACGCACTGAATTGTATGCGGATTTTTTCATGACAAGCTCATTTCTCCTTGGCACCTGATTCCACCTATGATGTTTTAGAGATCCGTGTTTGCTCTGCCCCTGAATTGTACTTGTTTGAATAGAATTTTGAGCTTGAGCCTTGAATACTGATCGTTTTATCCATTAATTCCAATAATTGTTGAAAATGACCACTAAAAGGAAAGAAAATGGTATTTCTTTTGATATTTTTTCGCAATGTTTAAAGTGAAAACAATTTGCAATATAGTGATATATACCTTACTTAACAAAGCTTCAGCATAGAAAATTAGTGCACGATTTTCTGTAGTCGGCACTGATCGAGCAGTTTGACAAGTTTTTTTGTTCTTTTTTGTGAAAGCGCCTATTGCGATACGGGATTGGGTTCCAATGTCATAAAACTTTGATGGGATCAGTTCTGATATTAGTCTCAGATTTTCTACCATATTTATTTTTCTTAAATAAAGTCTGGGATCAAAAGTGAGCTCATCTAAGGACTAGTCCTTCTACACTTCGTGGTTGGTAATACGATTTTTTATTCGCCGACGGTACATAGTATACATGCACACTACCAATATATATTTCACTGAATCCGTAGACAATTTAGACTAAAAATTTGTTTGGAAAAAAAATCATTCAACATTCCCCTCAACAATTGACTACATATTTGCTACCAAACACTGCTCAAACAATTTGAAAAGTGATTAGTTTAATTGTGATATCCTTGTGTCATCAAAGTATTTTTTCGATTGCTTGCCTTATACCTAAATATTGTTTAATGCACGTATAACAAGCTCTTCTGTATCGTTTCTACTGGGAGACATACAGATAACAGTTAGTTTGTCATGAATGTCTTTCTCTTTAAAATATCCAAATATAAAAAAGATGTATTAGACTCTTTGTTGTCATTTCTTTGGATTCAAGGCGATACAATGAATATCGATTTAACGTAAGAATGAAAATGTCAAGAAATCTTTTAAATTTGGAATAAATTCCGTACCATATCTGTTCAAGTATTTCTCGGAAATATGCGAATGTTGTGTCATAAAAATGTATTTTAAGGCAGGATATATTAGTAGTGAGTCTTTGCTTCATCTATTTGTTTTACAAAACAAAGAAAAAGAAAAAAGAAAACTTGGAGGATAAAATTTCAAAAATATGGAGCAAAGATCCACTTATATCGGAAAATAGAGAACAGTATTAAGGCCAGATAATTATTCTTTTTTTTTTTGACCTCTTTCTTGAATATGCATAGGCAAATAATTTCAATCTTTGTGCAATTTTAGCATATTGAGGAGATTTTACATATAATATACTATAATTTTTAAATGAAAGCATTTTTGTTAAAATTGAGATTCAATTTTTCACCTTCGTGTCTTTCGAACTATTTGTTCGCCCATCTCCTTTGTTGCTCTCAAGTCAAGAAAGATAACTCTAATTTATAAACATGACCAATGTCTTTTCGAATTTCCTCGGTTTATTATGATTTGCCCACGTGCAGTTTTTATCACTGGTGCAAACAAAGGATTGGGACTTGAATTTGCGAGACAGTTCCTAAGATTGGACACTCCTCCGCAACAACTTTTTGCAACATGTCGTGATCCTGAAAATGCCGTGGTAAGTTAACACAATCCGCACACAAAACAGGAAACTTGCAGTTTCAGCGTTGCATCGATTGAAATAGAATTTTGAATAGTTTGATAATTATGGCACCGATTTGTAAAAAAAATATTATTTGTTTTAGGAGTTAAGAAAGCTAGAAGATGAAAACGAATGTGTTCAAGTTTTAAAGCTAGGTGAGTAGATATGAACTTTGTGATGGAATCGAGATTTGCATAACTGCAATGTCGAAGCAATCTAAATGTTAAGAAGAATGGGGGATAAGGCGGACGAAGTGCCTATAGTGCATGCGCGAATCTAGAGGGGGGGGGGGGGTCGGGGGGGGGGGTCAGCACCCCCCCTGGAATTTACCAGGTTAAAAAATGTACACATGTATATACAAAAACAAGAAAAAAGTTACCATGGACCCCCCTCCCCCCCTGGTAAACGCGAATATGTGTGAAATGGGTATGAAAAGTGAAGGATTTGAGGCAATAAAAGTCACCACTAAACCCCCCCCCCCCCCAACGAAATCAGGGCCGTAACTAGGGGTTAAAGATAGAGGAGGCGGAATTGAGGCCCCCAAAGATCGGGGGGTGTGGGGGGTGAAGCCCCCCGAAAAAAAATTGCTTCAAACGGCTCAATTTTGGACCATTTCCTTTATTTTGAGAATGCTTACCACTGTGTGTCGTAAAAGGCGAGTGAATGAAGACTGTGTGTCGTACGGGGCGACTGAATGGGGAGTGTGTGTCGTAAAAGGCGACTAAATGGGGACCCGTAATGATCTGAGTTACTTAGAGTAGGTCCTCATCGTCCCTTGCGTGTTGTAAGATTGTTTATAATTTTACGTCCCGCTCAAGAATATTTCACTTATATGGCGTGTTGTAAGAAGCAACTGAATGGGACAGTCCCTCGGATGAGACGGAAAAAACCGAGGTCCTGTGTCACAGCAGGTGTGTCACGATAAAGATTGCTTCCTGCTCAAAGGCCCTGAGCGCAGAGCATAGGTCTAAATTTTGCAGGCCTTTACCGGCAATGGAGACGTCTCCATTATGGCATATAAGTGAAAAATTCTTGAGCGGGACGTAAAACAATCAATAACCAACCAACTAACGTTAACTCACAATACTCATCTGATGCTTCAATTGAATTTTAACTTCTGAATGTAAATATAAACAATGATAAATACGAAACTGACTTTTCCCAAGAAAAAGATAAAATTATTTAAGTCAATAGGGGTATCTGGGAAGATCGTACCCGTCGATTCATTCTGAATAGTTTTCACTGTACTAAATGCAGTTCTAAAATGATCGATCGCCGTAGTTCGAATTTCGCTATGGGACATGGGGACTGGTCCTTCGGATGAGACCGCATAAAGTTAACCGAAGCCCCGTGTCACAGCTGCATGTGATCCCTCTCTGCTCAAAGGCCCTGAACGCCGAGCATAGGTAATGGTGACACTCACTGGATAGCTGAAAAATTGCTCAGATGGCTATAATCAAACAAATAAATGATCAATCTTGATCCAGCTGCTTGTGTTGTGTTTCTTATTTCCAAAAAAAAAAAAAAAAATCTAGAGGAGGCAATTGCCTCCGTTGCCTCAATGGTAGTTACGGCCCTGGAAATAGGTTTTTGACGTTTGGGCGAGTTTGTTTTGTTTTTTTTTTTAATGCTTGTCAAGAAATTTCTGGGATTGGATTTTTTTTTTTGACAGTGGTGGACCTCCCCTGGAAAAAATTTCTGGATCCGCGCCTGTAGTGCGACAGATAAGAAGTGGAAAATTTAATCTCAATCATATCCAAATTTTATTTAATATTTCATCTAATACTAAAGTATACTTAATATAAAATCTCTACAATTACAAAATTCTCACAAAGACTGAAAATATTTGCCTACGAAAAAGCATACACATGCTAAAAAGAGCAAAAACGATAATTTTCTCATACTTTAACAAAATTTTTCATCATGAGTGGGTCTTCGCTCCATTTTTTGAAAGATAATCCTAAAAGTTTGCAATAAAAATACATATTTTGGTTTACAAAAACAATTTTCATGGAGCGAAGACCCACTATATATACCTTAAAAGTACACTTTTATCATGTTTATGACAAAACAATCGCATCTTTCCAAGAAATACTTCAAGTCCATTAAGTAAAGGGTCATATCACAAACATGATTTAAGTCCCCCAAAATCATCGTGAGCCATGTATAGCATAGTTGTTGCGTTAGTCTCAAAGCAGTATGATAGTCATACGTCTGGTTTTTATTGCGTAGGGGTTCGAATCCCACGAATATAATCTTATATTTTTATAAAAGAAAATTTTTACGAGATTTTTTTTCTCTCAGAAAATGTTTTTTCCTCATAATTTCATAAATTTTAATAATGAAAAGTTAATTTAAATACTCAATTCACATATTGAATATGATTTATTAATATCCGACGCTATAGTAGGCATTCTGCCCGCCTTGTTCTCCCATCTTCTTTCGTAAATTTCTCTTCCAACAATCTTTTGGAATCCCCATGGATGCTAATTTCGCTCCGTTATTAGCAGACCTTTTTTTGTATTCATATGAAGCAGAATTCTTGCACATTCTTACGCATGAAAAGAAGAAAACACTTGCTGTGGCCTTCAACTCGACATTCCGATATATCGAGGACGTATTGTCAATTAACAATGGTAATTTCCATTCCTACAGTGTATGTTGATACGATATATCCTGGTAAGCTTGAGATAAAAGATACCACCGAGTCTGACACATCTGTTTCATACTTGGATATTTTACTTGGAAAAGACGTTAATGGTTATCTAACAACCAATCTCTATGATTAACGTGATGACTTTTAACTTTTCTATCGTCAGTTTCCCTTATGCAGCAATATACCTTCATCACCAATCTGACTGAAATACAGATCTCTACATAGCGCAAAGCGCACTGCGCTATGTAGAGATCTGTATTTTAATCAGATTGCCTTCATCACCTGCATACTGTGTTTATATATCTCAGTTGATTCGATACGGAAGAGCATGCTCTACGTATGAACAATTTCTAAAACAAGGTAAATTATTGACAAACAAGTTGATGAAACAAGAAAATCAGCAGTCTCGTTTAAATTCATCATTTCGTAAGTTCTATGGCCGATACAATGACCTTGTCAGTATATACAATTTATCATTGAGTCAAATAATGACTCAGTGACTGACGTTTTATTTTACTGATTGTCACTCCATTATTAATGAATTGACAACAGATTTTCCCCTTATTTCCCGATCGGCAGGGGATGATCACTCCTCCATGTCACCTGCTCTCCCACCTCTGATGGCTGGAGGTCCGTGTTTGCTCTGCTACTGTTTTTATTTTTTTATGAACTTTAAAATTTTCATTTTTTTAAAAATACTTTTGACTAGTCTAATAGATTAATAGGAATACCGTCATAACCTTGATAGTGTACAGTTAAAGAAAACAGGGTTATAGATCTGGAATCGAGTTTTGGCGACCCAGTTGAAAAAGAAAATATTTAATGAGTTCTTCATATATAGGGGACGACCGTTTGATTCTGAGAGGGGGCTTGATAATTTTGAAAATAAATTATCTTCAAAATATTGAAATTAGATAATCTGACTTAAAATAGTTTGTTAGCTTTCAACCCCAAGCCCCTCAAAATCAACTAGTCGTCCCCTTAGCCCTATCTAGTATCTTATAAAACTTACTTGTCCAGCAAATGCGCTACCTGGCCCCTATCTTTACATGTATTCCTTACATGTTGACTATAATTGTGAAGGAGACACATCAGACATACTATGCTAAAACATTCTAGAACATGTAGAAGTGGTGTAAATTTATGTGGATTTCAAAAACTCCGAAGAACTTTAAGAACCTTTTTTTCCAGAAATATCTATCACCAAAACGTAGGCTTTTCTACATTAACTGTTCCTCATAATAAATTAAAAACAAAGCGTTTTGGTATCATGCATAGACAACCTCATTTTCAATAAAAAAGGACCTTGCAACTATTCGTATCCTTTTGTTGATCCTTGATTAATAAAATTACTTCGTAAAAAATATTTTGGTACTACACACAAAAGTTCTTTGAAACATCATTGGTAACCTGCGGGTGATTCACATCAATTCTTTCTATCATCGGCAAGTGGACTCGAAACCGTGGTTTGCGACGATGACTTTGAAGTAAATGAAGTTGTTATAAAAAGAATGTTGTTACACCATGATCATACACTGTCTTCGTATATGAGGTACTCCAACAAACTGTTGGACTCAGTTGAATACCTATTGCTCCTTTATTAGCTAACTTGTTTTTATATTAAAGCAGAATTTATTCAAAATCTTAACTAAGCTTGTACTTGAAGAAAAAAAAAACGCTGTTGCCCTCAGTTCGACATGCATTCAAAATTTTATCAATCGTCGCTGCAGTGATTAGAGCGTTTGCTCTAGAGTCGCAAAGTAAGGAGTCGATCCTTTCGTCGCAGGACGTATAAACCGAGGTCCCATGTCGCAGTAGGTGCTGGCACGAAAAAGACCCCGCACTGTTCATTGGTTGTAAGTCCCAATTACAGGACAAAATTTGCAGCTCTCCACAGGCAAGTGTCCATATGAGTGAAAAATTCTTGAGAGGAATGTTAAACACCATACAATCAATCAATTCATAATACTAGTGCATGTATTTATTTCTATTCATTGTCAACTTGAATGCTTAAAATAAAAAAAAACACCACAGTCTGCCACATCTATAACACATTTGGATGTTTTACTGAAAATAGATGATAGGGACCAACTAACAACTAATTCTATGATAAACAAGACAATTCCAGCTTCTCAATCGTTAAGGAAGCTCTAAACACTGCACACTAAAGAGTTCTATTGACTGAAATACAGATCTCTACAGTGCGCAAAATATGTAGAGATCTGTATTTTAATCAGATTGCCTTCATCACCTGCATACTGTGTTTATATATCTCAGTTGATTCGATACGGAAGAGCATGCTCTACGTATGAACAATTTCTAAAACAAGGTAAATTATTGACAAACAAGTTGATGAAACAAGAAAATCAGCAGTCTCGTTTAAAGTCATCATTTCGTAAGTTCTATGGCCGATACAATGACCTTGTCAGTATATACAATTTATCATTGAGTCAAATAATGACTCAGTGACTGACGTTTTATTTTACTGATTGTTACTCCATTATTAATGAATTGACAACAGATTTTTCCGTTATTTCCCGATCATGACAAGGAGCACACGGCGGGTGTGACCGGTCGGCAGGGGATGATCACTCCTCCATGTCACCTGCTCTCCCACCTCTGATGGCTGGAGGTCCGTGTTTGCTCTGCTACTGTTTTTATTTTTTTATGAACTTTAAAATTTTCATTTTTTTAAAAATACTTTTGACTAGTCTAATAGATTAATAGGAATACCGTCATAACCTTGATAGTGTACAGTTAAAGAAAACAGGGTTATAGATCTGGAATCGAGTTTTGGCGACCCAGTTGAAAAAGAAAATATTTAATGAGTTCTTCATATATAGGGGACGACCGTTTGATTCTGAGAGGGGGCTTGATAATTTTGAAAATAAATTATCTTCAAAATATTGAAATTAGATAATCTGACTTAAAATAGTTTGTTAGCTTTCAACCCCAAGCCCCTCAAAATCAACTAGTCGTCCCCTTAGCCCTATCTAGTATCTTATAAAACTTACTTGTCCAGCAAATGCGCTACCTGGCCCCTATCTTTACATGTATTCCTTACATGTTGACTATAATTGTGAAGGAGACACATCAGACATACTATGCTAAAACATTCTAGAACATGTAGAAGTGGTGTAAATTTATGTGGATTTCAAAAACTCCGAAGAACTTTAAGAACCTTTTTTTCCAGAAATATCTATCACCAAAACGTAGGCTTTTCTACATTAACTGTTCCTCATAATAAATTAAAAACAAAGCGTTTTGGTATCATGCATAGACAACCTCATTTTCAATAAAAAAGGACCTTGCAACTATTCGTATCCTTTTGTTGATCCTTGATTAATAAAATTACTTCGTAAAAAATATTTTGGTACTACACACAAAAGTTCTTTGAAACATCATTGGTAACCTGCGGGTGATTCACATCAATTCTTTCTATCATCGGCAAGTGGACTCGAAACCGTGGTTTGCGACGATGACTTTGAAGTAAATGAAGTTGTTATAAAAAGAATGTTGTTACACCATGATCATACACTGTCTTCGTATATGAGGTACTCCAACAAACTGTTGGACTCAGTTGAATACCTATTGCTCCTTTATTAGCTAACTTGTTTTTATATTAAAGCAGAATTTATTCAAAATCTTAACTAAGCTTGTACTTGAAGAAAAAAAAAACGCTGTTGCCCTCAGTTCGACATGCATTCAAAATTTTATCAATCGTCGCTGCAGTGATTAGAGCGTTTGCTCTAGAGTCGCAAAGTAAGGAGTCGATCCTTTCGTCGCAGGACGTATAAACCGAGGTCCCATGTCGCAGTAGGTGCTGGCACGAAAAAGACCCCGCACTGTTCATTGGTTGTAAGTCCCAATTACAGGACAAAATTTGCAGCTCTCCACAGGCAAGTGTCCATATGAGTGAAAAATTCTTGAGAGGAATGTTAAACACCATACAATCAATCAATTCATAATACTAGTGCATGTATTTATTTCTATTCATTGTCAACTTGAATGCTTAAAATAAAAAAAAAACACCACAGTCTGCCACATCTATAACACATTTGGATGTTTTACTGAAAATAGATGATAGGGACCAACTAACAACTAATTCTATGATAAACAAGACAATTCCAGCTTCTCAATCGTTAAGGAAGCTCTAAACACTGCACACTAAAGAGTTCTATTTATAGGGAAGTTTTATACAGTTAGAGTGATCTACCCTTGGAAGTAAGATAGAAAAAGTGGTTTTTTACAGTAAATTACATAATTGATATAGATTAAAATTTTCTTAGCATTATATTAGACCAAGAATAATTGAATGAATTTTTTTTCATTAATTTTCCCTATGTAAGTAAACAACAGTGAATCCTGTCCACAGATACTCCATCGTCTTTGAACATCTTTCCTGCGGAAATAAGGCAGGTACCCTATGTTGAAAATTAATCAGGTAGTCTCAATATGCACACCTTTATGTGATGTATTGTTCTCCAAGTCCAAAAAGCACTTTTGATTAGTGTTTAGAGCTTCCTTAATTTATGTAGGACCTCCATTAGGTGTTCATGTCCCCATCTTATTTCGTTACTCAAAAGCATGCTCGCTATCAATTTTTAAACCGAGGCTATAGCTATAGGCTTCCCATCCTCCATAAATTTTACTTCTTCGGAACCCAAAAGTTTTCTCTCCATTACACAGCAGTGTACAGAAAGAAAACCCTTGGGTTCCGAAGATGTAAATTTTAATTCAAAATCAAAAATTAGTTTTTATTGGAACATTTAATATTTCTGATGACTGTTGTTCAATTTCACCTTCAGACATAACTTGCGAGACTGACATCGAATCTGCAGCAAGAAAGGTGGAATCTAGTCTTAATAGCACAGGTCTAAATCTTCTGATAAACAATGCGGGTGTGACTAGAAAGCGTCAGTATGTCGGAAATCTCAACAAAGAGCATCTCCTAGAACAGTTTACCACCAACGCTATTGGACCGCTACTTGTCACCCAGGTATATTTGCAGAATATTACATAAAATGACGAACTCGCACTTGCGTAGACTTTTCATTAAAATAGTTCATCTGTACAATAAATAAAGGTTAGAGTTCAGTTTTGTACACATATGTTAACAAATTTGGTACTTATGATGTCATTGATTCTTCACTTTGTATAATTTTTATGAAGTCCTTGTTACCCATGCTTCTGAAAGCGTCGGAGTCACGTGACACTCCGGTGAGCTGTAGCAAGGCTGCCATCGTCAATATTTCCAGCATTCTTGGGTCGATAACAGAAAACAGATCTGGTGGAATGTACGGGTATCGACCATCTAAGGTGACTTATGTTATATTTACAGCTTTGTTTGCATCAGTACTCAGTAGTAATTCGATTTTTGGAGGACGTAAAACAACATGGAATCAACAATCAATCAATCGTTTTTGGGTCCTCTTTCATATTTATATAAACAAGCAATTTTTTTTTGCAAAGATTGCAGCTTTTGATATAAATTTTGTGGGTGAATTTTTTTCTTTTAATGACAAATTAAAATACAATAAAAAGTGTTGTTAGATCAACTTGATTTTTCTTAATATTTTTTTATTGCTTTGTTAATTTACTTATTTTTTATTTATATTTAAGGCTGCTCTGAACATGATAACCAAAAGTCTCCATGAGGAACTAAAAGAGAAGGATATTTTAGTGACTGCATTACATCCAGGCTGGGTGAGAACCGACATAGGCGGACCGCAGGCGGAAATGTCACCCGAGGAAAGTGTGAAAGCTTGTTTAACGGTGCTATCAAAATTGTCCAGAGAAAATTCGGGACGATTTTTGTCATATACCGGCGAAGTGATTGATTGGTGATTTTGTTTCAAATACTATATAGCTTTGAAAATGACATTAGTTGTTATTTAATGTATTTATCAAATTTAAAGCTGAACTCTGTATTTATGAAAATGAGCACAACCTGTTAATTTATTGAAATACATCTGGCACATTTTCACTTATTACTATGCAAATAAAAGTAGTGTACCGTGTAGCTTTTACGAAGTCGAATTTCAAGCTGTGGATCATATTGACGCACTCAAGCCTAAGCTTTGTCAGAAATTTAGGGGTATCGAGGTTCAATCATTTTGTTTTAGATTAAAAAAAAAATTCACAGTAATTTGTTTCAGCTCCATTTTTCAAATAAAAAGAAATGTTTTGTTGTCTATTATAAGATTTTTTATTTGCTTATACAGAAGGCGCACATTTAATCGTGGTTTTGCTCTCCCCTTTCGACAATTGTTCGGTTTGTACTTTCTTCCTATTCTTCCACCGCTTACAAAAAAGACAGAAAAAGAGACCACAAAGTCCCGCCAACGCCGCTCCGGCCGTTGCGATACCAGCAATCACCTCAACTGAAAAATAAGAGACACAATATCAAGGAATGTTAAAGTGCTGTAACAAATTTTCCGTCTAAATAAAGAATAAAATTATTTTCGCGAGCAATATATTTGTTCATCATATCCATGAAATCCTTTTCCTTCATGACGAAAAACTACGAGAATTTTTTTGGTGCAGGTCTTTTCATTTTATTTCTGTTACAATGTATAAAGACTTAATTTGATATTTTATAATATACATGACTGTCGTGCATTTTTACTTCTTTTTTATATATCACGACAAGTTGCAGACTATAATGCCACCGAAGAGTGTCAAACACTAATATTTTTTTTTTAATCTTGAAAAAAAAAACACTATTACATTAGGAAATACTGTGAACAATATTTTTCTGTCGATATTTTACAAATTGTAAACATCACTTAGATTCATACTTTAAGTTATGTAGTACCTTTCCTGACAAAAAAAATCTTCCTTCGGGAGTTATTTGTCCATTTTGGACAGTTATGGTTTAGTATTCAACGAGAACAATTGAAATCTGTGCTATTGAACTTATTCATTTACTTATATAAACATAAATGGAACTGTTTTTTTCAAAGATTTTTGATAAAAATTCGTTAATATCATCTGTCCTTAAGAAATTCATCTTGGAATATCAGTTGCAAATTAAATTTTTATACATTATTGTACACCCCTTTCTCTTCAAACGTTGTTCTAAAAAATCTTTCCTTACTAGATAGGCCTTTATCTTTGCTGTCGTCTTCCTTTGTTACATTATGAATAGACTGAAGAGTCCCACCTGCAGAGAAGATAAACTTTAAATACCAATAAACGAACTGAACTTTAAAAATGATCTTAAATATTGTTGAATTCAGTTTAACTACTTCTTCAGTTGTGACTGTACCGATCCTGAAATATAACTTAAAAGTAACTTAAAGCAGAGACATATGCTTAAAGTTTATCATGAACATTGCATGCAGTTCCTCAGTTCATTGTAGTGGATTTAACCTACATATACAATCTGAGGATTTTAGAGTCTAGCTTAGGACTCTTTTCCAAATTGTCACATCCAAGATTACAATCAAATTTCATAAAAAGAAAGACATGCTGATACGGTCTACTTTGATTTTCTGTTACGTTAGTCCGATTCTTCCGACATATTTTATGCGCTCAATAGCATGAAGTAGGTTGAATTTTGATTAAAAAACGTGAACAGGTGAATGTCTTACTTTCTGTTCCTAATTTCAAGCTATAAAACGTTTGATTTCATCGATCAATGATGTAGGTTATTTTGTAAAATCTTTACTTACCAATGAGTACATTGGTTGTCCTTATTCTAACTGTGATAGAAGCTGAGGCTGAAAAATATAATTTATATAATATATTTTATTGAATTGCAGAAAATATAGTAAGTTTATGTAATGGTAATTGGAAGATTTTTCCTAATACATGTATCTATTGTTTGCTTTAAATATATTCAAACTCAAAGTCAAAATCTTCGATCCAATTTAAAAGAAAATACATGTATAAAGAAATTAGCGCCTTTGACAGTTGGGCACAAAAACGTTTTCGGCCGGTAATCATATACTTTTAAATTTCAGGAGTGACTATTTTCAATGAATTTTTATTGTGGTATAATGAGAAGTTCATTTTCTACCCCCTCGGCCCTTACTTTACCCTTGAGCATGTTGGTAAGTATTCCCGAGTATTACCAATATATCTCTTATTAATACGACAACATGTGAGCCTATCACATTGTAATTGTACTCACTAGACCTCGGCTGCCTTGATCCCTTGCTTGTTTTATATGTCGATGCTGGAAAGTAAAAAAAAAAACCCGAATCTATAAGACTATAATATTAAATAATAGTATTTGGGAAAGAAAAATGTCCTATTTTGCAATTGGCAATGAACTGTCAAGTAAAATTCAATCTTTTCATTTTAGTTTTGGATGGAACCAAATCTCTTTAATAGAATATAAAACATGTTTATCTGTAAACATGTATTTGTAAACTTTTTAACTAGACTGAGTTTCAAACGGGATTGTTTCCTTGACTGATTTTTTTCATGCAAATTGTTTGGCCAACATTTACAATCTGAACTGTCTACTATGGTCTACTGATTTTTTTAATGTCTGATCAAAATAAGGCGGGTGTGATAGATCGACAAGGTATGCTTACTCCTCCATGTCACTTGATCCCACCTCTGCAGTATTTAGAAGTCTGTGTTTCCTCTACTCAGAATTGTTTTATTTCAATTGACTTTTGAACTTGATTACTGTTCCTTATCTCCATGTGAAAAGCGTGAAAAAGACCTGTGATTGATCTCTGAACACAAATCTGTTAAGAAGGTTTCAACACTGGACTCCTAGAAATTTCAGAGGAAGTACTGGTGCATAAGAGGAGTTAGCACCCTCTTTCGAACGATCACACTCGCTGTGAGCTCTAGGTATTGATCAAGGAAACAGAATATTCCGTAGTCAAATTTATTATAAAAGCAAAGGTCTAACAATATTAACTGGAATGAAAGACGTCAGTAAAAATTCTACCCAGTGAGAAATTACAAATATATTTGTTGACAAGGACATTATAACTTATACATTATAACTTTTATATATATAAGAATTTACGAAATGCTGAATGAGGTTTTTGAAATTCCTGTAACATCAATCTATCTGTCAATTGTCCGCTTTGGTTTAAGAACTGATCGAACTTGGTGCATGCTCTCGAGTATCCAAGAAACTGGGAAATTTACACATCATACGTAGGTTATGACGGGATATTACAACATAAATAAGACAAGTTGACGATGGAAAAGTTGAAATCATCTCCTTTGTCATAGAGTTTAAATGTTAGTTGGCTCTAATAGTATTTTTAAAATTCAGTAAAACATCTAAATATAAAACGGATGCAACAAACTCTGTGATATCTTTTAATGTCAAGTTTACTGGGGTATTTCAAATCGACATATGTATGAAAATAACTTGTTAAGAAGAAACTCCAGCATTTTAATATCAACTTGTGTAAAGAATCAGAGTGATCTTTAACAAAGTAATTTGTTGATGACAAATCGCAAGATAGGAAAGTTTTGGATTTCCATTGTTATTAAAGAAACATCTGACAATGATATAAAAAACCTGACACTTTGTCAGAATGGGTTAAATATATCAAATCCATGTTAAAACCACGTATTAAAAGATTGAGGGGCAATATGAAAACCATCTGTCCTTCTGTATTCAATAATCCAAATTGAAAAAAGAATTAGATATATTACATAATCAGTATGTACTGGTCCCTGCTGACAATGCGTGTAACAATATTGTCTTTGTCTGTAAGGCTCATTATATAAAATGTATTTAGAAGAACTTGGATTTAATTCTACAAGTGGTAATCCAACTTATACTCATAGTTCCCTTTCCAAGGAAGAAATTCTTCAAAATCATATGTCAGTTTTGGATATTTTTAATATCCAAAAGAACCAAAATGAATTTGAACTACATCATATATATATATATATATATATATATATATATATATATATATATATATATATATATATATATATATATATATATATATATATATATTGGATTCCAAACCTTCATAAGAATCCTTACAAACAAAGATACATAGCGGGTTCCAGTAAATGTTCAACCAAGTCTCTTTCTTCACTCCTCTCTAAGACATTAGTCGTAGTGAAGGAGAAACTTCGAGAGTACTGTGCAGCAATATATTCAAGAAGTGGTGTAAATCAGATGTTGATACTTAAAAATTCCGAGGAACGTTTGGACAATTTGAAATCACAAGATTTCACCAAAATCAACAGCTTCAATACTTACGACTTTTCAACTTTATACACAACCATTCCTCACGATAAATTAAAGTTCAGGCTTTTTGATATCATTGACAATCTGATTAAAATCAAATCCTTTGATCCGCTCCCGTAGATCGCTACACAAAAGGTGCTTTTGCAATAAAAATGGAACTCGTAAATTTACTTACCTTGTCATTGGTCATTTGCAAGATTATTTTTTTAGAAAACGTTCTGATTGTACACACAAGTACCCTGAAGATGACATCAAATATTGAGTTTCTTATTGACAAATCTAGGTCGTTTTTGAAGACCAACAATCTATTGGAATTCCAATGCGCCTCGTTCTTAGCAGACCTATTTTTGTATTCATATGAAGCAAATTTTATGCAAATACTTTTGCGTGAAAAGAAGAAAACACTTGCTGTGGCCTTCAACTCGATATTTAGATATATCGACGACGTATTGTCATTTAACAATCATGTATGGTAATTTCCATTCTTATGTCGATACGATATATCCTGGTGAGCTTGAGATAAAAGATACCACAGCGTCTGACACATCTGTTTCATATTTGGATATTTTACTTGAAAAAGACGTTAATGGTTATCTAACAACCAAGCTCTATGATAAACGTGATGACTTTAACTTTAGAATTGTCAACTTCCCTTACTTATGCAGCAATATAACTTCATAACGTGCATACGGAGATTATGTATCTCAGTTGATTCGATACGCAAGAGCATGCTCTACATATGATCAATTTCTAAAACGAGGTAAATTATTGTCAAGCAAGTTGATGAAACAAGA